TGAAAATGAGGGGGCATACATATTTTTTTTTTTTACTTGATATTTATGAGTAAATAAATTCAGTCAATAAAATTTATGATAATTATCCCAAATATATATATGAGTGGTGTAATCATTAATAAATAAGAAAAGTACACATAATAAGATATAAAACTGTAGAATTTAATAATTTAAGGAATGGCTTTCTCTAGTCCAATTATGAATTAGAGGGTACTATTGGGCTTATGAGGACCTACTACGAGTCTCAATGTGTAAAATTTGTCGAGTACTATATGTCTATAAAAATATCATATTGATCCGATATTGATAGCTATGTGATCAAATTAGTTTTGTATGGAAAAAAATGGACAGTGAAAAATAAACGACTTACAAAAATCTGATTTGATCACATAGCTATCGATATCCGATTAATGTAATTTTTTTATAGATATATAATATTCAACGAGTTCTACACATTGAATGGTTTAAATTATTAAAACGAAACCCGTAGTGAACTCCCACAGACCCAACAATACCTTCTAATCTGTGTCAAACTGGAGAAAAGCCATACTCATAATTTAACTAGCTTTGTTAATTAGGAGATAGCTAGGTCAGTCAGTCAAGTACTATTATCTTGAGCATTGCTATATTCAAAGAATTTGGGCTGGTTTGAATTGCTTCAATTTGTGTCTCTCGATTCTCCGATCGATCATTCAAACAGTTATTCAACTGATCATTCGAATGAATGTCGATTGACACACTGATAAACTATAGGGACAACTACCGTTGATAAGAGTGACAATTGAGTGACAATCGAAATTAATAAAAGTGACGCCGATTGTCTTAAAAATCATGTGGTCAAACGTTCAACTAATGTAATTCATATAATGCAAACGAATTTAAATTCAATGAATCAATTATTCTTCTATTATCTTAATTGGCAAACTATTACAACTGTGCTTTGTAGGATTTGTCTCGTCCTTTTAGTCAGCGATAGAATTTCCAGTCTGATGATTACTTGAAAGTAACCTCTTGTAAACATAGGATTTTCTTGGTGGACTCGCTCATCATCCTCGATAGTTGCGTATCTTACATATCACTCTAATGCCAACTAATTAAAAGTCAAATCAATGAAAGTTTGGACCATGATTATACATTTTATTTTCTTTTAACCCTGGCTTAAGTGTTGACGTCCACAGCCTTTGCCAACTCACACTTTAGGCACATATATTTGGATATTTTCTAAAGCTTTTTTTTTTTTTTAATAATTATTTTAGTAGTGGTTTTGGTGCTATATGTCTTCGTTTGATTGTTAAATAAATAAGTGGACTTTTTGTGGATCGTTGACAATCAATATATGTTATTACAAAACAAAAACAAAAAAGAGAGAAGGAAATGCATATAAGGGAAGTCATTGTATGAATAAGACTGCCTCAGTTTTTATCTAATGGGGATCAGGTCAGCCTACTCCTTTCCATGCATGTGTGTGCATGTTTGACATCGTCGTGCTTTTACTTTACCAAAGAAAAAATAAAGAGTCACTGATTAGTTGAATATGGAGTTAAATTCACCTGTCCATTCCACAACTTTATGTAACCATCAATTTAAAAGCACTTCTATGATTTTATGTTTTATTTTGGTAAGATTACTGTTAATAAAAATTATGATAAGTTTTGATCGATAGAGATTTAACAATAATTTTAACTAAACAACAAAATAAAAAATCAGACGACTGTGTAAAGGTTCTAAAATGCCTTGAAAGTACAAGGAATTTTTTTAGAATAATTAACAATTGAAAAAGTGAAGTATCCATATAAACAAAGATAACTCTTGATGAAATTGTCTAAGTTTATCACAAGAATTACAAGTCACAAATTATAGAGAAAACTACTCCTAATTTGATAATCTACTCCTAAAATAAAGACTATAAGTTATTGTTGGATTGTTGATGATGTCCCATCTCTCTTCAAACTTCTGACCTTTATAGTTCTTCTTTCTCCTCTTTCCTTGATCTATGATCCATTTTCCTTGAAAATTGCAGGCCACTAACCTCCAACTGTTGCTGCAGTTGTCCCATTTTCCTTAGAAACTGTAGGCCACTAACCTCCAACTGTTACTGCAGCTGCTCCATAACTTCCAAGCCTTCAAACTTTAACAATTCTTCATATTTCTTGTTGAACTAACCTTGCTCCATACTGTCACGTACTCCTCATCATTTTGAACACTAAATCGACATAAAAAACCTTTTCTTCATAAACCAATTTTCACACAAATCAGTCCACTAAGCCAACAATTATTTAATAACTGTTCCATGACTACTTTTAATAATTCACGCACTTAAACAATTCTTTCCTGTCTTGTGTCTCTTTGATCAAATGAAAGACTTTTACTTTTGACTTTATTGCCATGTGTTGTCATTCAATTGATCCACCTGTCGATAAAATTTTTTCGAAAATGGGTGCAAACAATGCCTCCCCAACTCTTTAAGAATGAGAAGTCTTAAATTCTTGAAGAGTTATATAAAAAATTAAATTGGCAGCAACCTTTTCAACAAACAAACATATATAAAATATTTGCTTAGGGCTAAGAAATCTGGTGATCAAACACCACATTATTAATAATCATATGCCACATAATTGGCAAAATCACAACTCAATCCAAGTGAGCTACATTCGACAGAGCATATTAGAAATATTTCAAGTATATGATGTGCAAATGACTAATTAGAACCACCTTCCACAAACACAGTATCTTTGTGCAAATACAACTGTTGCAATTTCCTTTGGTCTTGTGTTCATATTTGATTAATACAATTTAGACAAAAAAGGCTTCTTTATGCACTTGAAAATCTAATCACATGCTTTCAACTGTTAGTGTTCAACAGTGAAAACACACTTTTGCTTAATTAGTCATAATTTCGAAGATTCAAAGTCAGAAATAGAGGCCACACTCGAATGGCCATTATTTAGCTTGCTTTATATACATTTTATAAATGTGTGTTTTTCAAACAATGTTGGTTTATTAACCATTTTATTAAAACCAAGTTTCGGTGTGATCCACATATCCAAAAAAGATTTTGAACAACAAAAGCCATCAATGGCCTTAAAAACTTATACATGTTGACATTTTGAACAATGTCAAAAATTTTAAATTCATGAACATATATTTGGCTTAAGATCACACTTCTTTGTTTCACACATTAATAGGTTAGAAATATTTTTTGAAAATCCAGAAAATATTTCCTCCTTGTGAAATTACCCTATTGCCGTGGAATTTTGATTCTCATGACCTTCTATTTTTGCAACCATGGCAATTGATGGAGTAATAACACTAACATTTGAAGGTGTCTTGTGAACCTCCACTCTTGTCTGACACTGTCCTCTAGAAAAATCATCAATAACACTTCTTAGCTCTCCAACCAACACTTGTTTTTCCTCAACTGAATGACATGCGAGAGCCTTCTTCAATTGTGAAACCAAAATGCTTATAGAGAGTACAGAAGGGCTACTCATTTGGCTTTGATGCCTCATTTTTTCCATTATTCCAAATTAGGATGTTGTCCCATTGGGCGTGCTAAAAATTGTTGGTAAAAATTATGATAAGTCTTGATTGATAGAGACTTAACAACAATTTTAATCAAACAACAAAACAAAAATCAAACGATTGTGTAAAGGTTCTAAAATGCTTTGAAAGTACAAGGATTTTTTTAGAACAATTAACAATTGAAAGAGTGAAGTATCTAAATAAACAAAGACAACTCCAAATGAAATTGTCTAAGTTTATAAGAATTACAAGTCACAAATTACAGAGAAAACTACTCCTAACTTAATAATTTACTCCTAAAATAAAGACTAAGTTATTGTTGGATTGTTGATGATGCCCCATCTCTTTACAAACTTTTGGCCTCTATAGTTCTTCTTTCTCCTCTTTCGTTGATCCATGATCCCATTTCCCTTTAAAATTGCAGGCCACTAACCTCCAACTGTTGCTGCAGTTGTCCCATTTTCCTTAGAAACTGTAGGCCACTAACCTCCAACTGTTACTGCAGCTGCTCCATAACTTCCAAGCCTTCAAACTTTAACAATTCTTCATATTTCTTGTTGAACTAACCTTGCTCCATACTGTCACGTACTCCTCATCATTTTGAACACTAAATCGACATAAAAAACCTTTTCTTCATAAACCAATTTTCACACAAATCAGTCCACTAAGCCAACAATTATTTAATAACTGCTCCATGACCACTTTTAACAATTCATGCACTTAAACAATTCTTTCCTGTCTTGTGTCTCTTTGATCAAATGAAATACTTTTACTTTTGACTTTATTTCCATGTGTTATCATTCAATTGATCCACCTGTTGATAAGAAATTTACAAAAATGTACATAACTAAAGTTATTTATTTTTACGTATGACACATGCGCATAAAGAAAGAAAGATTCCATATATATATATATATATGTGTGTGTATCACTTTTATTTATCTATTCTAATATATAAAGGAAAGACCGTTGGTGGTATTCACATTTTATGTCTCATATTTTGGATTTTCTTAAAATACTCCTATATTTGAAATTTTTGTAAAATTTATGTGAAGAGGAGAATAGGCCTCAAATCGATGACTTTGGGTGCTTAATAATGGAGGTTCTTATCATTTAATCAACATACATTTATATATATATATATATATATTATCATTATTATTATAATATTATTTTTTTAAAATTACACATGTATGGGAACCACTAATATACTAATATATATATTTTACTCCTCTTTGATGGTACTTTAAAATTTCTTCCTTCTGTATCAAAAAATTAAAATTTCTCATTATCAAAATAAATATTGAAAAATGGAACGTCCAAAGAAAGTACAAACCACCCATAAAAAAAATAAAATAAAAAAGTACAAACCTAGAGGAGAGTGCAACACATGCAAACCGCCTTAACTTTCGTTTCAAGTGTTCTCCTCAACTTGTTCTACCGATTTAAACAACAATCTCCTCTCTCAGTCAACAAAAATGGGCAATCAACAGCGACTCTGCAAGCTCTTCGAAACCCATTTACATCTAAACCATGTATTTCACTTACTTCTCTTCATGATCGGATTATCAGTAGGTACCATAACTGGTTTATATTTCAAAAGCTTCACATTCACCTTACAGCCCTCCCTCAATTCCACTTCTTCATCACCACCACCACCACCACCGCCACACCAAACATTTTCTCCTCCAATTCCGCCACCTCCACCACCACCACCTCCATCGCAGCCAGTACTATCACTGTCCTTCACATCATCAAATGGAAAATCTAACTACACTAGTGTATCCCTAAAAGAGCAGAGGTCTCTGATTCACAATATGAGCGATGAAGAGTTGCTGTGGAGAGCATCGATGGTTCCGAGAATTCAGGAACTGCCTTACAAGAATGTACCCAAAGTGGCTTTCATGTTCTTGACCATGGGGCCATTGCCTTTGGCTCCACTGTGGGAGATGTTCTTCAAAGGGCATGAAGGGTTTTACACCATTTATGTGCACTCTCATCCTTCTTTCAATGAATCTGTACCTGAAAGTTCAGTCTTTCATGGTAGAAGAATTCCTAGCCAGGTCAGCTTCTCTAATATTTTCATTTTCTATCATTTTTATAAAAGATGTTAGCATAAATTACAAGTTTATCATATGTTTTGGTGCAGCCAGTGTACTGGGGAACCATATCAATGATCGATGGCGAGAGACGCCTCATAGCCAACGCCCTTCTCGACTTCTCCAATCAAAGATTCGTCTTACTCTCCGAATCATGCATCCCATTATTCAACTTCACCACAATCTACAACTACCTCATGGGTTCAAACTTAAGCTTCCTTGGATCATTTGATGATCCGAGAAAGCCAGGCCGCGGTCGATATAACCGTCAAATGTGGCCCGCCATTTCCATCTCGGATTGGCGAAAAGGGTCCCAGTGGTTCGAAATCCACCGTGACCTCGTGTAGCATAAATTACACGTTTATCATATGTTTTGGTGCAGCCAGTGTACTGGGGAACCATATCGATGATCGATGGCGAGAGACGCCTCATAGCCAACGCCCTCCTCGACTTCTCCAATCAAAGATTCGTTTTACTCTCCGAATCATGCATCCCATTATTCAACTTCACCACAATCTACAACTACCTCATGGGTTCAAACTTAAGCTTCCTTGGATCATTTGATGATCCGAGAAAGCCAGGCCGCGGTCGATATAACCGTCAAATGTGGCCCGCCATTTCCATCTCGGATTGGCGAAAAGGGTCCCAGTGGTTCGAAATCCACCGTGACCTCGTGATTAATATCTTGTCGGATCGCAAATATTACCGGGTTTTTCAAGAGCATTGTCGCCCTCCATGTTACAGTGACGAGTTCTATTTGTCGACTTTAGTGCACATTCTTTACCCGGAAATGAATTCGAATCGGAGCATTACTTGGGTCGATTGGTCGAGAGGTGGGGCGCATCCAAGGAGTTTCGGGTGGGGCGATATTACGGATGAGTTCTTGAACCAGATTCGTTTCGGGTCGGATTGTATTTACAATGGGAATTCTACATTAATGTGTGTCCTCTTTGCTAGGAAATTTCTACCAAGTGCATTGGAGACTTTGTTACGGGTTGCTCCGTTGGTGCTTGGTTTTGATCCTTAAGATTTTGTTTATTTATTTTTTATACTCATCAAACTTTTAATGATTTGTCCTCACAATTCCATATTAAATAATTCTAATCTTCAAATTCTTGAATTACTATTATAGTTTTATTTAATACCAATACAAGGAATAAGCAATTTTAATTACGTATATTTTCAAAATGGCATAGACTTCAAATAAATATAATCTAACAAAAAATTTATATAAAAATATAGGGTAAATTACACTTTTCTCCCTTTATATTTGGCCACTTTTTCATTGTAGTCCTTAAAATTTATTTTTCACACTTTGACGATTAAAGTTTCAAGTTTTACTCACTTTACTCATAAAACTAATTTTTGTTAAAAATTAGATAGAAAATATCAAAATAAATATCACATAATACAAAAAATATATTATTATATTAAGGGTTGGTTTGGGATGTCCTAAAAAAGTGTACTTTTTGACTTATTGGTGGGTTTGGGTTGGGTTTGATGTGATGTGTTAGAGAGGTGATGTGATTTAAATAAGATGATGTGACTAAAATAAGATAGTGACTTTTTGAATTTTTGGCTTATTTAGTACATGCCAAACTAGCCCTAAAGTTTAAATTTATGTCAAAGGTTTGAGTTATATACAATAAAATATTTTTATATTATATGACTTTTAATGTGTCATTTTCTGTCTAATATTTTAATAAAAATTAGCTTTAGGAGTAAAGTGGGAAAAACTTAAAACTTTAAGAGCCAAAATGAGAAAAAATAAATTTGAAGGGTCAAGTGAAAAAATGGCCAAAGATAAGGGGGCAAAATGTAATTTATCCAAAAATAAATTCAAAATGATATAAACTACACTAATTAGGCCTAGTTTAATTTGTGGATAAGCAATGAGAATTGAATTAAGGATTATTTTGAAAAGTTAGTTAAAAATTAATTTTTTAAACTTTTTTTTAATTATTTTCGGAGATGATATGACTCAAATAAGAAATAATGTGACCCAAATCTATCTATCTATTATATAAGAAAAATGAGGTTTCCAATTCACAAGTCTTGTGGGAGCTCCAATATCCAAATTTTAATTTTCTAATTTTTTGATTTAAAAAAAAATCTTAGCATTTGTTAACTTCTCCCATCCCACAAACCTTTTTGGCTTCTCCTATACCTACTACTGTACCATTTTCAACTTCTCTCATACACTATAGTTACTAATGAGATTGCTAAATTATTTTTATAAAAAATCCAAAAAAAATAATTTGTATATTAAAAAATATCTAAAACAAATATAAATTTTTATTAAAAAATAACGGGTCGCAATTGCAAAAAGAAAGAAAAAAAAATTATACTATAAAAAATAATTTGTATATTAAAAAAAATATCTAAAACAAATATAAATTTTTATTAAAAAATAAAATGTTGCAATTGTGAAAAGAAAAGAGAAAAAAAAAAAAAATTACATTGTGCATTTCATTAATAAAGTTCAAAAAATGTGTCAAATATTTGTGTAAAGGCTTAACATGTGTCCACTCTCAAATTATCAAATGAATATTGTTAATCATATTGTTTAATTTTAATGATGTCTAAAATATCATTTGCCAAAATTTTGATTTTTCAATATAGATATTATTTGACACAAAATATTATCTGTTTAAAATATATATTGTATGATACATTTGTTAAATATTAGTTAAATGAAAATATTTTGAAAACTTTACTATTCACTTTTTGGAAAAAATTAGACTGATCACTATTCATCTTTTGACAAAATTGATTTGGAATGAAATGATATATTTAGTTTAAAATTTCTACAATATATATAATAATTTAAAGATGGCATATATTTTTAGATCTATCATAAATATCATGTAAAGAGATTTTTTTTTTTGTATGCAAATATGTGATTAAAATATTATATATATATATATATATATGCATGATATTATATTCAGAAATGTTAATTAAATTATATATTCAAAACCTTTATGATTTGTCTATAATGTTTGACAAAGAAAAAGTAGACAGAAAAAAAGTGGACAAAGAAAATATAAGGTTTGACAAAGAAAAAAATGGACAAAAAAAATATAATTTTTGACAAAAGAAAAGGGCACTACATGATTTTAGATGCCTTTTGTCTGTCAAGGAGCGTGTTCACGTAATCCATGACGTCAACAAGGAGCGTCCTACCTCCAATGGATATATTTTTGTGTATAAATAGAAGTGTTGTGTGTGGAAAAAAAATCAAGAACTTTAAGAGAAAAAATTTTTGCGTGCTCCAAAATTTTGAGTATATTGTATTCTGCTCTTTCAGTTTTAGATCTAAGTGTATCTACTCTTTGTGAGAGAATTATTGTAAAAGAGGGTTTAAGTACCACCTATTTTTATTCATTATTTTTGTGAGAGATTTTTGTAAGGGTGAGGAATTTATGTTGAGTGAGACTCAATAAATAAGAGTAAATCCTGTGCAAAATCCACAAGCTTGGTGAAGACTTGGTGGTGTATTAATTCATTTTGATAGTAAATAAATTTTCAAGGAAGTTCCTTGGGGAGTGGACGTAGGTCTGGCGTGCCGCACCACTATAAATCTCAGTGTTTGATTTTCTCTCCCTATCTCTCTTATTTTTTATTGATAATTATTATTCTGTTTTTTATTTGTTAAAATTCTGAATATTGTGTTTATAAATTTAATATTGTAAATTTTTTTAAGTAACCCAATTCACCCTCCCTCTTGGGTTGCCTACTCGGGATAACAATTGATATCAGAGCCTAGACTCTAGTTTGTGTGACTTAATCGTCTTAAAGTAGATCATAGCAGCCCCTAGTTATTCTTTACCTGAGGGGCAGGCATCCAATAGGCTACCACTGTTTAGCGGCACAAATTTTAGCTATTGAAAAACTAGGATGACCATACATGTTCAATCTAATGATTATGAATGTTGAAAAATTATTTGCAATGATTCAAAAATTCCTACCAAAACCGTAAATGGCCTTATGGTACCAAGACCTGAAGATGAGTGGAATGAAACAGATACTAGAATGACTCAAATTAATATCAAAGTCACAAACATGTTGTACTACACCTTAGATGCCAATGAGTTTAACAGGATCTCCACATGTAAAACCGCAAAAGAAATATGGGATAAACTTATAGTAACTGATGAGGGAACCGAACAAGTTAAAGAATCTAGAGTCAGTCTGCTAGTCCATAATTATGAACTCTTTAAAATGAAACCTGATGAAATTGTTCCTCAAATGTTTACTCGTTTTACTGATATTATTAATGGTTTAACGTCTTTTGGCAAAATATATACTAATGCTGGAATTGTAAGAAAAGTGCTTAGGTCATTGCCAAAATGTTGGGAGACAAAAGGCATTGCCATTACCGAAGTCAAGGATTTATCAAAGCTAAGTCTAGATGAGTTAATGTGATCTCTCTTAACTCATGAGCTCATAATGGAAGAAGGAAATGATGAGGAGGACAACAATAAGAAAAAAAGAATAGCCTTTAAATCCACCTCGAAACATCAATAGAATGAGGAAGATAATTCAGATGAGGATGAAGAAATGACATTCATCACTAGAAAGTTCCAAAGGTTTGTGAGAAAGAAACAAGGCGTACGAAAATTTTTCAGAAAAGACTTCAACAATAGGGATTTTCAAAGAGGAGAAAATCACAAAAAATCTGAAGTTACCTGCTACGAATGCAACAAACCTGGACACTACAAATCAGAATGTCCGAAACTTAAGAAACAATTCAAGAAGGACAAGAAGAAAGCTATGATTGCAGCATGGGGAGAAGATAGCGATGAAAGCGACACAGAAACCAAAGTTTGCAAAAATGAGGTTGCTAATCTATACTTTATGGCACTTGAAAACAAAAATGAGGTAAATGACGAATCCTTTACATTTGATGAATTACAATTAGCTTTTGATAAATTACATGCTGAATTTAAGAAACTTAGTTTGAAAAGTAATTGTCAAAAGAAAGTGATTTCAAGTTTATCAAAAGAAAATGAATCATTAACTTCTAAGATAAATGTTTTAGAAAATGAAGCCATGAAAATGAAAAAGGAAAATGAGATTTTAACTCGAAAAGAGTCTTTAATTTCTGAGAAACATTTAGTTGTATTGTAAAAAGAAAATGAGTCTTTAAAAGAGGAGCAAATTATTTTGAAAGAAAATATTGAAAACTTGAAAAATACTCTTTCAAAATTCACTCAAGGTAGAGAGACTTTAGATAAAATTCTTAAAAATCAAAATCGTACTTTTGGTAGAGCCGGAATTGGATATAAACCTTTTTCAAAAGTAAAAATTGTCAAAAGTGACTTTGTGTATGCATTTTCTAATCACTCTCATCTCACATGTCATTTTTGTGGTACAAAAGGTCATATTTCACCTTCATGTCCTGTTAAAAGAAATCTTTTTGCTAAAATAAAAAAGATATGGGTCTCTAAGGACATTTCAAGAGTGTCAAATTCTAACTTTTATGGATCCAAGAAAATATGAGTACCAATAGAAAAATCAAATTTTTGTAGGTATGTTTCTAGACAAAATCCAGTAATGATAGATGGTATCTCGACAGTGCATGTTCGAGGCACATGACTGGAAATAAAGTTATGTTCGCCACACTTCAACCAAAGGATGACCGATATGTGACTTTCGGCAACAATAGCAAAGGTAAAATCATTGGTGTAGGAAGTATTGGCAAAAATCTCTCTCCTATTATTGAAAATGTTTTATTTGTTGAAGGTTTAAAACATAACTTGCTTAGTATTAGTCAATTATGTGATAAAGGTTATAGAGTTATTTTTGAGAAAACTTATTGCACTATTGATAACACCCTAAAAAACAAAACTTTATTTGTAGGTTATAGACATGTGAATGTATATGTGTTTGATTTGCATGATTTGTCTTCTCATTTTAATATTAAATGTTTATCTGTTATAAATGATAATGGTTGGCTTTGACATAGAAGATTAGGACATGCTCATTTTGATTTAATTTCCAAGCTTTCAAAAAATGAGTTAATCATTGGTTTACCAAAAATTGTTTCTGAAAAAGACAAACTTTGTGATG